GCTTGTGCGGTACTTTTTTGTTCTGCAATCAGGTGTTAAAGCAAAGCTATTGAAAAAAGTTTTCGTCCCAGTTTAGTTTCCGAAAGACCGGCAAGCGTGAGATCAGTTTACTGGATTGAAAAAACTAAGGGCTTCTACAATCTGGCGAACGCTTCACGCTTATATCTTGACTAATATTTCCGGGTTTATTCGCTTTAGTTATGGGGGTTATTGTTTATTTCAGGGCAATGTTAAAGAAAATCCAGGGGCACCCAACGGCAATTTTCAGGAAAATATCTGTTCGGAAGACGATTTGAGATCTAGAATTTTCGGAACATTTGTTGTAAAATTTCTTGCTTTCCCGCCTCTCCTAGGATTTTCGAACATCTACAAAATGGTATAATTACCCATTTTTAACGGATTTTGACCCTAAAAAAGGCCACCTAGAATTTTCGAGAGCCTTTTCCTGGGTAAAAGTTTCGAGAAGGTAAGTTTTTATCCCTATAATTTTCGGATCACTAGACTTTCAGCTACGAAATCCGAACAGATGAAAAGTTTTTAGGGGATAAAAATATGCCTATATCTACCGTTTGAATACTAAAATACGTTCAACAATGCTATGTTAAGTGGTTTTGAACTATATCCTCGTTGGGTGCCCCTGAAAATTCAGATATTTTTTCCCGAGTTCTGATTTGGAAATCATAATGTGCTATTCACTGATTTTACGTAACATTATATGCACCTGTTTGTGCGTTTCAGTCAGTTTCAGAATTATCATACAAATATGAAGAGACTTGACATAACATTGACAAAGTTCATGAAACTACACGACTGTGTTCCTGTTAATGTTCGGTTTGCGGTTTACACTCAGAACTTTCTGAGTTTAAATGGCATCAGTTGGTATAAAACTAACTATTATACCAAAGATCCTTTTCATACTCATCCTTGCTAGTTCAGCTCCCTCCTCGTGAGCGAGGCACGTTTTTCAGGATCATGGTCGTTTTCAGTCTTAGAATTTCAACATTATTCTGTTTCAAAAAACTAAGTCTTTCTCCAAACTGAAAGGCGAGCGATGTAAGTAACGAATTTCAATTGCTTTCTTAGGGAGAATCATTTCGATACCCGGTCATCGCTCCTTAACTACCGTCACGTTAAGACCACCCTGAACTCTTTCACTGACACCTTTCCAGTCAGTTGTGCCGTGAACACACTTTAAGATAATATACGACTCAGTGCTTTCAATGAACTGATATATCTAAATCAATAAGCTCCTACGCAGAGATATTTTTTCTGTTATTTTGGGCCCAAGGTGATTCTCAACTGAATTTCGATACTGTTTTAGTTAAATTGAAAGAACTACTGTTAAACTCTTTATTCCAAGTAAAAATCTGTCACCTTTCTTAACTTCTATGCTTGCCAACTCGAAATTCGGCTTAAATTCACTGATAGAATGCAGGGCCACTCGCATACTTCATCAGGCATCGAGTGGTTCGTTTGGCTCATTTGTTTTTTCGCAGTATACAAACAACAAACAAGACCTCAGCTCCACTGCTGAGTAGACGAGCCACAACAAAAGCCTGATGACGGCCACCAAAAATAACTCCTTCATCGTTCTTAATTTCTATCCACAGCCGTACTAGTGGCCTCGTACATGGCCCTATTTCCTGTGTAGTCGCTCCCGAAAGGCATAAATTTTGCTTAATTTTGCTTCAGCATTTTGTGCTTCAGTAAAGGAAGGGTGGCTTGAAGACCCAACTTAAAGCCAGCAATCAGTGATGTCAGACTTTGGGAACGTAAGAGAATTTACAGGAAAAAAGGAACTTGATAATGTGGTTACTAATCGAGATAGCTTAATCGCAAAGAGTGATTTTATGTATAATCCGTAAAGCAGTATCTCGAGCTCAATAGTTTCCAATTAAACAAGAGAAAGTAATGAAATTAGAGTGTAATACTGTGAAGTAGTATCTGCTATCTATTTCACAAGTTAAGTGTAATTAGAATTTTAATGATAAAGCTAAGAAATACAACTTCCCCCGACAGCATCCATAACTCAAGTTGGAGGTAAACTTCAAGTGAATCCAGTATGAACAAATTCAGTCAGCAGTAACTCTTTAAAGTTTGCCAAGACAAGTCAGATCATAAATTACGAGACATACATGTCTATAAAAATATGTCTTTATATAGAGTTTCCTCCCTTATGTGCTCTGTATTGAAGAATTTACCCGGCTGCCGGACTGAAAGCGAATAGACTGCGCGTTTAAATGGTGACGAAGAACTGAGCTAAACTTCACTGACTGTTAGCTGTCCACTATTTTCTTTCATGGAGTTTCCAGTCAAAGAATATTCTTGGAATTTTTTTTTTATTCAGTGTTGGCCATTGTGTTCTTGCTGACTCACTAATGACGAAGATAACCTTTACTGAATGGAAGAAACAAATCGATAAAAAACTGAGGAAGACTTAACAGGCACAGATGATCATACCCATAATTTTCATTGCCCTTGATGGCTTCTTTGATATCTGGCGCCAGTTATATTAATGGTGATTTCAATCCCCAAGTAAGATAGCCGTTAACGATCCTCGCGGAAAACTATACATAACACACACTTTAATGATTGTACCGCAAGTGAAGTACGAGTCATACGATTTCTCTGTCGACAACTTTTGAGTTTCCAGCGAATTCCGCATCCTGTGTCCTACAATGAAACACTTGTTTGCTTGTTTTGGGTAGAAAAAAAATGATATTATACAAAAAATAAAAACTTGATCATATCGAAGGGGATGTGTTCGAAACATTTAAAACATAAAACATAAAACAAATCTATTTATTATAGTTTTCGGCTGTTCCTGTTTCGACAGTCTCCATCGCTTCCTCAGTAGTGTCAAAAGATGCTGTCAGGAATTCAGTTTTAGAATGAGAAAATTTCATGTATAAACCGTAGTGGGATACAGTAAGAACCCGCGACTAAAGAACTTTGTTCAGTTTTAAGAACCTGTTAGGCTAAAATTTGCCAGTTAGGCCCCCACTATACAAGAACCTGTTAAGCCCAAAATTTGAAACAGGTTCTTATTTTCTAAAATCTATCAAAAAAAGAAAATTAGAGTAAGATTGAGCAAATATGATAAGTCAGCATTCAGGATCCTCTTTGAAGAATTATCCGTCCAACTGCAATGTACAGCTGAATGTAATGGTAATGCAGATTTTATTAGGGAATAAGCTGAAATTATACTACTAAAAATTCTCTTTTAAAGAAAATATCAAGAACCTATTTAAGAACCTAAATAGCCTTAATTTGTGCTAATTACCTTTTCTGTAAGAACCTGTTTAGGCCAACTTGGAAAAATGCAGGTTCTTAGTTGCGGGTTTTTACGGTATTCAGCAACAATGAAAACGTTCCTAAAATGTACGACCATCAGGACGACCAACGGTCACTTATGAAGATGTATGTTGAAGCATACGAAACGTCAAGATCGATATTACAAAAGTCAGTTATATAATGCCTTTGTTATTTCTGATTTTTGTAACCGCAGTTTGTGTGTTATTTTTTTTACATTGCTTCATATTTGATCAAATTACAAGTATTTTGATGATCTAACAGGGCGCTCACTTATGGACACAACATCTGGGGGAAAATATGACATTTGAAGCCCATTTAATGGCCTTCCTTGATTGTAATGTACTTGAAACTTGGAGGCAATATAAGCTGATATCTAATCTCGGGATTCTTAATTATTTCAATAGCTTTTTTTTAATATCAAGTGGTTCTTAAATTATTGTGAAATTAGTAGGCGTGGACCAAATTACATACAAGAATGGTAAATAAATTTAAAGCAGCCGAACGCACGCCAATCAAATTCCTCTTTCTCGCAATCAGCGGAAGCAAATTAATCCTCCTCTATTTTCGTACACTGTTTCAAATGAAATCAAACCACTAAGAGAATTAAGCTCGAAGAAACTGCATTTCCAGATCTCATCATTGTTTCCTTTACATATTAGCCAGTGAAGTCGATAGCATGTTTATCCACTGTTTTTATGACCCTTAAAACTTCGTTCAAAATATTTCCAAAATGCTCTCATAGCATTTGTTCAAACTTTGCTATAATCGAGGCAACTAAGGGAGGTACATGACAACTCCCATGTCAATGAAACAAAGATCACGACAAATTTTGATCTTTTTATAGTAGGGCTGTGGTAACTTCAGTTCCTATATCTTTTCTTTGTTATTGCCGACGTGGTAAATACTCAAACTTTAAAAGAGGTATCCGTCCTAAAAAATCCAGTCTAGCCAACTTAAAGCAATAAAGCATGTGGATTCCCGCGGGAGAATCTGTCCTCTTTGATAAAATAGGATCAAACATGTTCTAAGCATAGAAAAGTATCACTGAAAGGAAGCTGTTAAACAAACTAATGGGTGTTTGTGAGCCTTTCTGAAATGGTGGTACCTAAGCTGAAAAAATCAAAAAATGAACTACATAACATTAGTTTCCTCGTTCACTTCCTCAGTGACTTATTGTAAACTTCTCCGTTCACCACAAAGCACCGCTTTTGTTATAAATAAAACGCGTTAAAATAAGGCTTCTACATACCTCACCAGTCCGTTTATGTGACAGATTGGCTGGCTTGTGCCTTTCTTTTACTCGCGGTCTGACTGTTTAAATCTTGCAGAAAAACCCAGTTGGACCACCCGAACAGCCTCTGGGACTTTAAATACAAATGCAGTGACACAAAATTTGGCTTAGTATAAGAAAAGTAAGTCTAGCTTTTGAAATAAACGTGACTAATCCCATAAATATATGTTGATAAAAACATTATATTGTATTTTAGCACGTAAATGTCATTTTTCTTATTTAACTCTAAGCAACGGGCTTTAAAGCAAATTTTCTTCTCTGTATAGTTATCAGTTCCGGATAACGTCATGTTCATGACATTTCAGTTTTGTATATTGAAAGAACAGGGCAGTTTATGATTAAAAACAAAGAACATTTTAAAGAAGGCAGTGGCAGCTTGATTGCGAGGCAAGGAGCAATGAAGAGCGGTTGTATTCGCAGGCTTCTGATGTGCAATGGTCTCTTTAAAGACAGATAGCATTAAGCGGTTTTCTAACTTTAACTTTTAAGTCAGTGTTTAAATCTTGAGAAATGGACCAGAAGAATAGTTTAGGACGGGAAGTTTAAGTTTTGAAACGTGACTTATCCCATGAAAACAATTTTCTCATTTAACTCGCAGTTAAGTTGAATAGTAATCTTGAGATATTTTTAGACGATTTCTTAATTGAGCAATTACCATGCAACTCTCTTTCTAGTCGACCTATACCAAAGTATAAAAGTCATCATATTTGTTAGACCCCTCCCCCCTTTGTCAGTGTCAAATATAGGATCTGTTTTTTTCTTTTTTTATTATATCGCTTGCTCAGGGACTAATGAGTGACATGAAAGGTTCAGAAGCGAATCCTGCCGGCTATGTTCTGATTGGCAAGGCAGGCCTTTCACGACCGCTGGGGATCAAGCCAGTTCGGTCAAGATCGCTGAATATTAGCCTTGTTCCTTTACTACCTTAAAGGAAGAACACGCTCAATCATCAGTGATGTTGCTCCGTCACTTAGTCAAGAACGTATAAATACATTGGCAACACTAAGGGAATATCCATCAGTTATTAGGCAATTTTCCAGCGGAGATATCAAACAAATGTCTTTCTTAAATGACAAGAATAATATGGCTTGCATATTATAAAGGCAAACATGCTGTAAAATACTCCAGATATAACTTAAACTCTTTCAAGCTGTGGAAATTGTCAAAATATCTCAGATTAATTTGGTTTAACACTGATTTACATTTGGAAGCGTCGCTGTTTTTAAGAATTCAATTTTCTTCACAGCCTTCAGAAAATTTATTCAGTTTTAGATGAAACAAGTGGCGTACTCTGTGAAAAAAAAATGTTCTCTCCATTTAGTTGGTTGATTATTACAGATTGTAAGAGTTTCTTTTGACTTAGCCCGTTTACAGTCGGAGAACCGTGGGCGTCTGTGATTCACCGAGTTGCTAATCGCGTATGATGGAAGGGAGCGGCTGTACTAACAACTGGCTAGTTTTAACTTGAATTGTGAACATTTACATGGACCTTTAAACTGAATAGAATTTATAATTTTGCCCTAACTATACTAAAACTAAGAGAGACTTTGTTTTTTTTTTTTCTTTTATTGATACAGCTGTAGTTTTGGTCCAACTTTGGAGTCCGTGATAGAATCCTAAAGTGTGATTATCAAAACCTTTTCTAGTGGTGAAAACTGTCAAATATGTGTAAAGCAATATTATTTATTTATTTATTTATTTTGATGGAAGTGTCAGTTTAATTTATTCTTTATATATCCTTTAGAAGTTTAAACATGTTTGTGGATGAACAAAGTGGCCGACTCAGTGAAAAAAAATTGATACTTTCCTGTAGCACAAATTATATTACTAAAAGGTAGTGGTGGAAAAGTATTGGTGTAGCAGTAAGAGGTGGTTTCAACAGTGGAGGCAGCGTGGCAGACCAATTAGGAGCGCCCGCAGACTTGTAGTAACAAGGTCCCCCCCACTGGCCAGCTGGACTTGTTTTCGGTAGTCCCGAGTTCAATCCTCGGTCACGCTTGTAAAAAGCCAGAACAAAACAGCTTAGAACCGTAGGAGGTTGTTTTAACTTTAGATGTTATCCTCTGTTAATCGTGACCATTGAAATGAACGTTTGAACTTTACAGGTGGTGCTATGATACTAAAACCATTCCCTCCTGTTGTGATATTCAATAATTTTGCTCTTTTTGGATTCTAAAGAATGATTATCAAAACCCCGGATCAAAACACAAAAATGCAAGAATGAACTTGGCAAATACCCACTGCCAAGCCATCATGAGCTTATACTTGGTCAATAACGCATACAATTAGGCTGAAAACTAAGCAATACTGTCAGACCACTTTCCATGGAGATAAAAAAAATGATAAATAATTGCCAAGAAGCATATGTATATTAATGAAAAAAGGCGCCATTGTCTCAGGCAAACTTTGGCCCCGTTCACACGCATCCGTTGTTATTTGAAAACGAAGATTTTTTGTTGCAGTTTGATTTGGCATGTTTTGTTTTGTTTTCTCCGGTTTGGCCTGTCGATGACAACAGTTACCGAAAATGCATCTTATCAAAATGCTTTCCAAAGTGGAGACTTGAATACGTTTGCTTCTCGTTTACGTGCAGTGGACGGACGAAAACGGAGGTTTTCGAATACCATGAAGTCCTACATCATATACCACGAGAATTATGCATGCTCCGTAAGGGATGTTATCGAATTTCCATCGTTTTTTAAAGTTTTAGTGTGGATGGGCGAAAACTTTGAATACGCTACTTGTGGAAGCCCAGCTTTCACTTTTTTATTTTTTATTTTCTCCCAATCATACAAATTCATGAAATAGTCAAACTTCTAAAAAATTTAAACAAATAAACGAGGTTAGGCAAATTTTCTTGTCCTATGATTGTTCACAGGTTATTATTATTATTTTTTACTTTTTACTTTGATTTTTGGTTTAACATGGAAGAGCAAATTGATAGCAAATAACATTTTCAACAAACGCATTGGTAGCTTGATTGCCAGGCAAGAAGCAATGAGGAGCGGATCTATTCGTAGGTTAATGCAATGGTAAAGACGGACAGCTTTAAAGTGGTCTTTTTAGTCGAGATAGGTCAGCATTCTATATCAGTTTTTTTCGCTTGAGAACTGCGAATTGTCTGCAATCTAAACTAGCGGATAAAATTGAAAATAAAATCCGATTTCAACAATGACAGGGATCAAAAATGTCTAAGAATAGAAAACTATTCCCGAAAAGAAACTATTAAATAAACTATTGGGTCTTTGAGCCTTTCTGAGAGTGTGATCTCGGGATTCTTAATTTTTTTTAATATCAAGTGGTTCTATAATCATACTATCGTGAAATTTGTAGGCATGGACCAAATTACATCCATAAATTAAAATGGTAAAAAGGCAGCCAAACGCAAGCTAACCAAATTCTTCTTCCTCGCAATCGACCAAAGCAATCCTCCTCGTTTTTCATACACTGTTTCAAATGGAATCAAACCACTATGAGATGAAACTGCATTTTTCCAGACCTCATCATTTTCCCTCTACATAGTAGCCAATGATGACGATAGCATGTTTATTCACTGTTTTTATGAGCCTTAAAATTTTGTTTTGAAATATTTCCAAAATGCTCCCATAGAATTTGTTCAAACTTTGCCATAATCAAGGCAACTAAGGGAGATACATGACAACTCCCATGTTAATGAAACATGTATCACAACAAATTTTCATCTTTTTACAGTAGGGCTGTGGTAACCGGTCAGTTCCGATATCTTTGTTATTGCATGCCGACATGGTAAATACTCCAACTTAAGAGGTATCCACCCTAAAAAATCCAGTCTGGCCAACTTAAAACAATAAAGTATGTGCCTTCCCGAGGGAGAATCTGTACTCTTTGATGAAAAATGGAATCGAACATGCATGTTCTAGCTAAGCATAGAAAAATATCCCTGAATAGGCAGCTGTTAAATAAACTATTGAGGTCTTTGAGCCTTTTTGAGATAGGCGGTACCTAAAGCTGAAAAGATCGAAAAAAGAACTATATTTTCCTCGCTGTCTTCCCCAGTGACTTAAACTTCTTCGTTCACCACAAAATACCGCTTTTCTCATAAATAAAACACGTGAAAATAAAGTATCCCACACATACCTCACCACTCGGTTTAAATCTTGGGAACGCAGTTGGACCAGCCGAATGGTCTGGGACTTCAAATACAAATGTGAGACGGCTTACTGTAAGAAAAGGAAGTCTTTGAAATAAACATGCAGTCATCCTATAAAAATATGTTGATAAAAACATTATATTGTATTTTAGCACATAAATGTCATTTTTCTTGTGTATTTCTGAGCAACGGCTTAAATGCAAATTTTCCTCTCCGTATAGTTATTCCACGTAACGATGTTCATGACAGTTCAGTTTCGTTTATTGAAAGAACAGGGAAGCGGTGTATGATTAAAAACAAAGAACATTTTATAGAAGACAGTGGCAGCTTGATTGCGAGGCAAGGGGCAATGAGAAGCGCAGGCTGTATTCGCAGGCGTATGTGCAGTGGTCTCTTTAAAGACAGATAGTAAGGGTAAAGCGGTTTTCTTTAACTTAAGTCACCGTTCAAATCTTGAGAAATGCAGTTAAGTTGTACTAGAAGATTAGTTTGCGACTTTAAATACAAAAACAGGAAGTCTAAGTTTTTAAAACGTGACTAATTAAAATCGCATGGATACAATGTATAAAAACAAACGCTTTGTGTATTTCAGCACGTCATTTTACTTTTAAAATATGTAGTTGGCAGTTAAAAATAGTGATCTTGAGACATATTTACACTATTCCTTATTTAAGTGATTACCATGCAACTCTCTTTGTAGGCTTATACCAAAGTCTTAAAGTCGTCGTATTTGGCAGTTTGGAATATAAGATCTGGTTTTTTTTAATTGTATCGCTTGCTCCGCGACTTATGAGTGGCAAGGGGAAGCGAATCCTGCTATAATCTGATTGGCTATCCAAACGGGCAAGGCAGGCCTATCTAGCCCGCTCGAGATCAACTGCTTTGTCTTGCAAGAAAATATTTTCTGTTCTTTGATTATATAAAGAGTCCTTTGTAGACCAAACCAGTTCGATGAAGTTGGTTGCATATAAGTCTTATTCCTTTTCTGCGTTAAAAACGTAACTCGGCCAAACACCAGTCAAATTATCTCCTCGCCAAGCCAAAAACGCATTGGCAACACTCTGAAGGGAACATAAATCAAATCCTTATTAGGCAATATTCCAGCAGAGAGGGAGATCAAACAAAAGATATGTTTTTTTGTTAAATGACAAGAATTATATGCATGTTACAAACGCAAACTTACTGTAAAATACTCATGCATATATAACTTAAACTCTTTCAAGCTGTGAAAATTGTAAAATATCTCTAGGATTAAAAATTTGGTTTAACACTGATTTACATGTGGAAGCGCCAGTTTTTAAAAATTCCATTTTTTCGCATACCTTTAGAAAATATATCCAGTTTTAGATGAAAAAGCGGCCCACTCAGTGAAAAAATGATACCATCCATTTTGTTGATTGTTTATTACAAATCGTAGAAGTTTCTTGTACCTTACAGATGTAGGAGTTTCCTTTAACTGCTAGCCCGTTTACAGTCGCTCCCTAGCCCTCCCCTAAGAAAAACTAAAATCGGAGAAGGGTTAGTCTGCTACACAGCACACCGTTGCGTGACGACACTAAGAACGGCTGGTGTAGCATACTAGAGATTCACCGTTGCTAATTGCGTATGAGGGAAGGGAGCGGCTGTACTAGCAGTTGGCTAGTTTAACTTTATTGTGAACATTCAGATGGAAGTTTAAACTGTGTTGAGTATGGATAATTTTGCTCTATAAACTATACTAAAATAGACTGACTGTGTTGTTGTGTTATTGAATATTCAGCTGTTTTTTGGTCTAACTTTAGGAGTCTGTGATAGAATTCTTAAGTGTGATTATCAAAACCTTTTCAAATGGTGAAAACTCAGAGTCAAATATATGTAGAGCTATATTATTTATTTTTCGTGGAAGTTTCAGCTTAATTTATTCTTAATATATCCTTTGGGGCTACTATTTTTGGATGAACAAACTGGCCGAGTCGACTCAGTGAAAATAAAATTGATTCTTTCCTGTAGAACAAATTACATTACGAAACGGTAGTGGTGTAACAGTAACGAGGTTGTTTTAACTGTGGAGGCAGCATGGCCGAACGGTTATAACGCCGCGGGACTTTTCGCCCCATGTTCAAGTCTCGCCCTGCTGACCGCTAGCTGGACATGTTCTCTGTAGTCCCGAGTTCAAATCCTCTTCCATACTTGGCCTCCTACCAGCTGGGATTCTTAGCTTTGTTATGTTTCATTTGAATTATTGGTTCATTATCTCTGAAACGCTCCAAAAGGGAGAGGATAATCAATTATGTTTATCATTAGTCTTATTATTATTATTATTATTATTTATTTTTTATTATTATTATCTTCTTTTAAAATCGTGGCCATTGAAATAGCCGGCGTTTTAAACAGAGCAGGACTTTCCAGTGGTTCTATTAATATGTTTTCCCATTAATGACAAGTTTAATGAAATGACTCACACTAAGAACATTCCTTCCTGTTGTGATATTAATAATTTTGCCTCAACTTTGGAGTCTAAAGAGTGATTATCAAATTCGAGAACCTTATAAATGACACAGCTGATCTAGTGTCTGTGTGTTAAATGTTAATGTCTAAGGAATCAAATGAAAGCTAATGAGAAGCACATTAATTTCCACTTACGAAAACGCAAAAGAGGAACTGGGCCAGTACCCACTACTAAGCCATCATGACCTCGCGTTTGGTCAATAACACATATATTTGGCAAAACTATGAGCAATATGTCAGGCCACTTTTCAAGGAGATAAAAAAAATGATGAAATTTGCCAAGAAGTATATGCATGTTAAAGAACAGGCACCATTGCTGAATAGCACTTTCAGGCAAACTTTAATCTTTTTATTATTTCCCAAATGTGTAAATGGTTTTTACAGTGGTCTCCGTGAAGCCGTGAGAATAGCGTTGAAGTGGTCTGTTTTAGTTGAGTTAGATCGGCATCCGATACAGTCAAACCTCTTTAATACGGAGACCCAAGGGACAGAAGCAAGTGTCCGCTTTACAGAGGTGTCCGTATTATATAGGTAGGGAAAGTATGATTTTTGGCATCTCTGGCACCAAACGAACTGTCCGTAATAGAGAGGTGTCCGTAAGGAGAGATTACACTGTATCAGTTTTTTCAGTCACGAAAAAGGCGATTTGTCTGTAATTGAAACTGGGAGATAGTTGCAAACTAAGGAAAATTCCGTTACGGACATGGGATCAAACATGTTCTAAGCATAAAAAACTGAAAGGCAGTTGTTAATTCAGACAATTATTGCCAGGGTTTTTGAGCCTTTGAGATAGTGAACACCAATCATTACTGAAAGCTGAAGAGATCAAAAGAAAAATGAAGTGTATTTTCCTTGTTGGTTTATTTTACTCGATACCAATTTTCCAGTATGGGACTTTGATAAATACAAATGTGGAGACAAACTATGTCTTCCTGTAAGAAGAGGAAGTCTAAGTTTTGAAGCAAACGTGACTCATCTTTCATGCATAAATATATATTAATAAAAACTGTCACAATACATGCATTTCACAATAAACGTCATTTTTCTAATCTAACTCGAAGTTATTAAAAATAGTGAGCAGAATCTGTTTATTATGATATTCCCGGCTCCGTGATTAATTAAAAGCCCGACTGTGATTAACAGCAGCACTGATGAAGCGAATAGTGTGTTTTAATTGTCTACAGTCGAACCCCTCGGTACGGACACCTCTCTATTGTGGACAGTTTCCAGTGTCCCGACAAAATTCTCATCTATTTTCTTTAAAAAAAAAACCTCCATAATACGGACTCTCTCTAATACGGACAACGAACACTAAATCTCGGCCCCAGAGAGTAAATTCATATAAACTTAATTAAAACCTCTTTATTGTGGAACCCGGGGAGTGAGGGGACTCCGCACATGAAAGGGGTGGGTATGCTCGTCGTCTTGCTTAGGGGTGTAAATTTCGGATTCTGGTCTCACTTAGGGTGTTCTGGGCAAAACGCCATCACATTTAGCCGTGAAGGCCTCGTTTAGGGTTGAACGTGACAAAATATAAAAATATATATTTGATAAGTATACTTTTAATTCTTGTTTAGGGGTCAAAAAAAGCTTGGGCCACGCCCAGATCTCTTTAATTCAAAATTTCCGAAGAGCATCCCCACCACTTTCATATGCGGAGTACCCCCTGGGTACGGACACTGCGGTGATCAGGTGATTCCCGAATCCAGATCAGGTGAGTCTGTACAGGGTGAATCCCGTCTAGTCTGGCTGGTGAGCTACCCAAACAACGATTTGCGAAAGGTGTACAGAGGAACATAACCACCTTTTTGAAGGCTTCATTAACTACAGATAGCATAAAGATCTTTTCTATTACATTTTGTATTCTAGTTGCTGTTTACTGCACTTACAAAATCAGTAGCGAAAGACGCTTTCAGAATTGTACTTTACGTTACAACTTTTTACATGCAGTATTGCGCTGTAGCTCGTTTCGTTTTAAAACAGTAGTTTGTCTCTACCTGAGATGAACAATGTTGTATGCTACTGAAAGACAGCGCCTTCGTACTGTGAATTAATAACGGTTAAATGCAGTTTAAAGACAAATGTGAGCCTGGTTCTGGCTACTAAACACTTAAAACTGTAAGTGGAGTCATAGAAGTGACGTCATCATAGTGACCTCTTTTATACGGACACTTCTTCACCCTTCGCTCTGACCCTTCGGTGTCCGTATTAGACAGGTTCGACTGTACCTAAACAGTCCTACCTATTCATCGCTCTTACATGCTGATCAATGTAAACATTATAACACCATTTTGTCATCATTGTGGGAGCGATTAAGTGTGTTTGTCCTTATACCATACATATACTTCTTGGCAAGAAAGGACTTTATCCTCTCTTGCCTGTTGGCATTTCATCATTCTGCTCGATCTTTTCTTTTGCTTTGCCAATTCAGACCACGTGATGTTCTCCAGGGAATTTTTGTCTTTTTATTAATTATGCATACATATGCTCGTGGATTCACGTGCTTAAGAACCAACACGTGTTCTGAAATGAGAAAACAAAACATACATGCAAGCTAAAAAAGTCTATTGCATAATAAAGGTTTTGATGCATATTTCTTAGTGTTACTGCTGCGGTACATTAGCCTGCATAACAGGCGCTTTAAGGTCGGTACACACTTGGCGACAAGTTGCAGCAACACGTTGCAGCGACACGTCGCAGCGACAAATCGCTTCGTGTGTGCTGGACAATTTTTGTGAAAATCTTTGTCTCCGCAACATAATTTTGTTACTACAACAAGTCGCAAAAAATCAAATCAGACAGAATTTGTGCGACTTGTTGCTGCGACAAAACTCTGTTGCAGAGAAAAAGATTTTCGCAAAAATTCTCCTGTACACACGAGGCTATTTGTCGTTGCCACGTGTCGCCGTAACGTGTTCCTGCAACTAGTTGACGGACCTCTACACATGGAGTGATCTGTCGCCGCGACTTGTTGCTGCAACTTGTCGCCTAGTGTGTACCGACGTTTATGAGCCAAGCGAGGCGAACGCAGCATTTTGCACGAAGCGCAAAACGAGGGGAGAAGAAGCATAATTAAAGCTCCTTCCCTCGTCTCGCGCGTCGCACTCTTTTCGCACTTCGCTCAAAATGCCGCGTTCGCCTCGCTTGGCTCATTAAGCGCCTGTTATGCAGGCTACAGTACATGTGCGTTATTGGCTAAGCCAGGGGTAAAGATGGCTCGTTATTGCACAAGTTCTTTTTAAACGCAGACTTTAAAAAGAGACAGAACAAGGTTAGTATTCAGCCAAGTTTGTTACCGAACTGGTTTGGACTACAAAGAACACATTAATATATGGACAAAACAAACTATTTTTGGCGACACAAAGCAGGAAAACCTGAGCGGGCTAGATTACTGTCAAACTCCGAAAACCGTGAAAACCCGAAAATCTCAGGAATGATAGTTGGGTACTTGCCAATTACAAAAAAGTTCAGGAATACGCAAGCAAACGTTAAAACCACAAACTACTAATTACCATTGCTCAGTTTTCGTGTTAGTTATATCGCGCCTTATTGGCTAATTTCTCGCAACACGGTTTACGGTTTGTGAGTTTCACAGTAAAAATCCCTTAACTACTGCAGATATAACATTATAACCCTTTTCAAGTGGTGGAAGTTGTGAAATATCTGAAGATCAATATCATTTAAGGTTTTCTTTTATCGTCTGTTTCGGGGTAGTCAAATTACGATTTTCCGAGCGGGACTATTAGTAAACCACCGTAGTTCTTAGTGACTGGTGTATCACTACCCTCACCCAAGACATGCATGGTTGGTAGGGTTCGATCTAAAGCATTAGAGGATGTTAGCATGGACAACGAGTACGAGTTCTAGAACGAGATCAGCGATTTTTGCGTACTGCGCATCCGTTCTGCGCATCTCCACGTTTTTAAGTCGTCCTGTCAAGTTGCACCACGACGAGTTCTCACCAAAAACTCGAAGTGGGTAGAACGACTGAGAAGAGCTGGTTTTCAAAGGTAAATTCCGATGGTTTAATGCAGTTTCTTTTCGTTTCTAGCCTCTCTTTATCATCTTGAACATTCCTTATATTATGTTTTATGTAAAATACTGCTTTTGAAGTCGAGGAAAAGCAACCGAATGCGATATTTCCTACACAGCTATAACTCGAACTCGGTGTCATCGCTAACATAGAAAGCTGAGAAAACGACTTCGAGTACGAGTACGGCTTGAAGTCGTTCTCGTACTCGTACTCGTTGTTGATGCTAACATCCTCTTGTTGGCATTAGAAGAGATGACCGTTCCTTTAGCGGTCCGCTGTCCCGTTGTACTGATCGGTGTCTGACTGCAGGCATCCACGCTTCAGGATTCTCAATTCCACTGTCCCAATTGATGCTGTTAAGTGTTTCTTTAACCTTCCGAGAGTACCAGCGAGGGTCTCGGTTACTGTTAAAAATGACCTCGTCCCAGAGCTGATAATGCCTCGTCTTATTGGCGTGTCCAGAAACGGCTTGAATTGGCCGCGCAGGGTTAGCTCAGTCGGTAGAGCGCTTAACTGCGGAGCAGAAGGTCGCGGGTTCGATTCCAGAAAATAACTGAGAAGTGAGGGTACTCTTTAAACCTGTAAGCGGCTAGGGTTATACTTTCGCGTGGCTCCGATGACCACGTAAAATGGCGGTCCCGTGTAAAAATAGTGTCCCCAAATAGTACTTTCCTGCTAAATACATTGACACTCAAATAAAGTACTTTCCTGAAATTTTTCATGTGTTCACGGTTTTGGGAGTTTGACAGTAATCTAGCCCGTTCGGGATTTCCTGCAGGGATTCCACCTTAGCTGAAACCTGCAGCCCCCTCCGCTCCCCTCCGCCCCGTTTATCTTAGGTCTGGATGGGCGGTGTCCCACTTTGTAGAACATCTGTATCCGCCAGAAAGTCTCATTGCACCTTTTTTTTCACCAGAGGAGTTAGCACGGTTACTTACTTCAGCATCTGAATCTGCCAGTGGGGAGTTCGTGGTCGTATGGCGGGGCTATACTATAACCTCGCGATAAAAGTTCACCTTATTCTAAAAATGCAGCTTATCTGTTCACTCCTTAAAAATCTGTCATTTAAAATTATACGTCGCTCAGCTTCTTTGCTTCCAGGGAAAACTCGACGCCAGAGTTACATAACAATGCTTTATTTATTTATTTATTTATTTTTTTGCAGTAAAAAAATCAGGAAAGAAAATAATCTTAACAATCTGACTACGAGTATTCTGTCATTTCCTCACCACTCGCGAGAAAGGTAATGCACGAAAGAAAGAGGGCACTGCGCGCGGGTCACCTTCCTCGCGGGTGGCGATTTTCATTAATTAAGCGCGTTCATTGGTGCGTTCACAAAACTAACCAGGTCTAAGGGACCAGTCATTGTTTATCGCCGGGGGGGGGGGCAGGATTTGGGGCAAAACAAGTTGAAATTTAGCCAATACCCCCTTTTAATGTACTTCACTGAAGTGATCACCCTAACAACTTTTTATGACTTTCGCGATTCCCCCCCCTGTCTTCATTTTCCAAGCAAATTTGAGTGATCCCCACTCTGAATCCTTCCAAAGTTTTCAGCGATCCCCGCTTTTGGGTTCTCAGTTACGACTGATCCCCCTTTTGTTCTCCCAAAGATCGAGTGATTCCCCCTAAAATTCCCCTACACCCAGGCAATAAATAATGACCGGTCCCTAACCCATATATGGCGTACATAGCAAGACCTGAACCCAGGCCAAATTGATGGGAGTCGAGTGCTCTGACCACCACCTCACCCCTCCCCCCCCCCCCTGTGTTCAGTTCAAAACAAAAAAACCATGTATTTTATAAAGAAGTAAACCAGTAACGCATTTAATTTTATTGCAAATAAAACATAGGAATTAACAAAATACCAATGCTATTACAATGCTACAGTTCAGTGATGATAAAGATACAATGTAAATGTTAAAAAGAAATTAAATTAAGACAGAATCCACAAGGATATTGAGTAATTTTGATTTTCAGAGGACAAAAATCTGGTACCATAATAATTTAAAGCATATTGCATTCTTTCTTACATTTTTCAAGGGCTAAAGATGTAATAAATCATCTGTAGTGACACCAAAAAAATGGGAGCCCGAGAAAATGAATGTCAAATTTCACGGAATCACATCTTACACATGAAATTTTCAGAATTTTAAATGTGTAATCACAATTCTCGTGAAATTTGACATTCATTTTCTCGGACTTCCCTGAGAAATTTTCTTTGGTGTTACTACAGGTGATTTATTACATCTTCAGCCCTTGAAAAATGTAAAAAAAAAAAGAATGCAAAATAATTCTTTAAATTATTCTATTCTTTTTTGTTTTTGTCCGCTGAAAATTAAAATTACTCAATTTCCTGGTGGTTTCCATCTTAAATTATCGGTATGCCTATGTAGAAATTCATTTTCATCCTTGGTTCATTTTATTTAAGAAAGAAAAAAACTTTCATATTAATACCAAGGAAAACTTGCAACAAAACACTGAGTTTCCAAGAACTTGTAGCCCGCACTGCAGCTGGCGGTTTGTTTGCTATGTGCAGGGTGTTGTTTTCGTTTGTAGTTCGTAAAGTGAGAGATATCTCTCAAACACCCCAAATGAAACCGCTAGCTAGTCTACGTAGGTTAAAGAACTTGTTGATCACAAACTTTGTATTGTTTCATTAAAACATTGAAACCCCTAACAATTCCAGCCATCTTGACCTACTTACGCTTTGCCAGTATTAATGACGTGGCATATTTACAAAGCTTTCCGTTTATAAACCCACAAAGGGCTAACACTAATTAAGAGATAAGAAATGTTAACTCCATTTACGTACATGTAGCTTTCTGTGAAACACACAATTAGCTAGGCTAAGTACAAATTAACTTTAACTCATAATTTGTGGTACAAAAGTTTGCATAATCTGGACACAAAAACTTGCGACCTGTTCCCTTTAACGCCACTTTGCTTTGGGCACATGTAGACTCTAAAATTTTTAGGTAATTGTGAATCTAGAGATTGAAACTAAAGGCTGGTACAAAGATTAGGTGGTGTTTAACAGAACTTTTGCATTCTAAGTCATTTTTCAATTATTATTTTACCATCCTTACTGCTCATATCTAGAAAACATTGTTTGTTGTTAGGAGCATTGAAAAGGCTTCCAGGCTAGGCAGAAAAAATCATTTCATATCTATTTTGGGGCCCAGACATTTTTTTAAACCTCATTCTATTACTAAGGCTCTGTTTTAATACCCAGCCCTGAGTGTTTTGTAAAAAATACACATATACTCCGGCAGAGAAATCACGTACTTTGCTATAAGGCCCGTTTAGAACCCAGAGTTGCACAAAATAACATTTGAATGACAAGAAAGACATCAAATCGTTCTGAAAAGTGCAAGTGAACTATTACTAATAACAATATCTTTTTAATGGTTTTGAAAAAATTTTCCAAGTAACTCCAGCAAACTTGAAAATGGATTGGCCCAGCTTTTTTAAGGATTTGTCCATGCACTTAAGTTTTCTTATGGCGCAAACTCTCTTTTTAATGACGCCTATAGAGAGGCCATTAAGGTTACTATATTCACCACATCACATAGACCATAATTTGTACACCTTGTTTACCCCGAAAATTTTGCATTTTGTTTTCAGTTTCTCCTGGAGATTACAGTCATCCCAAGAGAAATATTGAATATTGAAAAGAATGTTGATGCAAAATTTTGGGGGCAAATTAAACAAGGTGCATTTATGGTCTATGTGAAAATAGTGAATCAATGGATTCTGTAATGATATAATTATATGCATTTGCTGGATTTTAAAGTAGCACAAAACCTTGATGACACTGCCCCTAAAAAGTAATTGGAAAGTTTGGCACTAATGTATTATAAACTAACATCAGCTATTCAATAAAATCACCCAGCCATTTTCTTGTTGTCTTGCTCAAGGAATTTAGACCTTCTTAATTGGCTTCTTGATTATGTTAATCTAGATACTGAAAATTTGTGTCCCAAACCAAATGCATAGATTATTTAGTGTTATATACATGTTAATAAAAATTGCAGTCTGTCAAATCACAGGCATGAAAACCTAAAAATACCTAAAAATCTAAAAAAATGTTACCAATTTTTTTTTCCACACACCCTTTCATTATTAATTGTCGTTTAAAACTAATAAACTCGAAGACACAACAGTAATTAAGTGAACAGTGGAGATTTTTTTGTGATGAATGTCATCAAAGGCAAAGTTTTGCATTTTGCTACATGTATACAGTTGGTTGGCTTCACTGGATGTGACCAGGGTAGGTTTATCCAATTAATAATAAACATCTATTGCTTATAACTTTATTAAATGAATAACAGACTAATAGGCATGTTTACATTAATATTTTTCATTTTTTCCACATCTTTATCATACGTCAAAATCTATAGCTAGCAGTTGTTAAAAAATGAGCTTGTTATTAGCTGATTAAGATTTGGGCACAAGGCCATAATATTAATATTACAATGTTTTGTTATAGGCCATGATGTCATAGCTTCTTTTCAAATTAATATGCAAAAACCAACTTGAAGTATAAACTCTCAGTCAACACCTTCGACACCTGTTTGCTTGCTGTTCATTATAATTATGCATGTCTATTAACTGACAGCAACAGAAACTTGTAAAAAAAAAAAATCCGCGAAAAAATTCAATATTACTCTACTCTTAATGTTTTTAACTTTGTTTTGAATGATTTTTACAGTTTTTTCTGAAAACTTTTTACCAGAAAATAAACTTTGCAGCTGACTTTTCACAAACCTATAATTCACAACACCTATGCCTTTTCCTGACCACTTGCAACAACTTTCCTGATTTTCCCTGGCAGAGAAAAATCACATTTCGTTTATAAGCATACATATAACTATTTATATTATAGCTTTTCCCTGATTATGCCTGTCCATGATAACACCGTCATTGACACATTTTGGCTGTGCTGTGATTGTCCCAGATGCCTCAAATAATGTTTAGACGATTGGGAAAATCATATGAAAATGCTACCCAGACAATCACAAATGACCCGGATTACTGAGATGAACTCTATCAATCGCTTGAATAGAGTTGATTTCTATCTGGACGATTGGGAGGATCGTATAAATTTTGAAGTGATCGGTAAATGCTCTCAGACGACTGAGACTATCGACCAGGATGATCAAAGGCTATCCCAGAAATCATCACTATCATTCGACCTGTATGCCGCTGAGGTTGAAAATAATTCAAAAATGTTCGAATCACATATGTGTACTTTTTGAAACTAAAGAGAAAGTCTGTTTCATCAAGTTCTACGCAATGATACGATATCATTGTGGAACTGACTTCTAGCTTGTTGACACCGCAAAATAGAGAGAAAAAGCAGATAGCAAGGTTCGAGGTTTGCTCTCCATTTAAAATCCATCATTACATGTATGTTTGGCTTGTTTGCGAAACCCATGCAAAAATTCTATTGTCTGACCCAGAGACATTGCTGATGATTCCGTGTCTTGTTCCGTTGAGGCAATTACCCGGACGATCACATGGAAACCACGAATCGTCCCAGTTGTCCGGATCATGTCGAAATTTTTTGAAATGACTGGGGCGATCGGGACGATCATATGGAAACCAGGCTTAATATATACCTACCTTCCAATAATCCATCTTTAAGCTGATTGCTGCAGAGTTTCACCTACAGCAACGCCAATTTTCGGAAAATATCTGTTGGGAAGATGATTTGAGATCTAGAATTTTCGGAACATTTGTTGTAAAATTTCTTGCTTACCTGCCTCTCCTAGGATTTTCGAACACTTAAAAAATGGTATAATTGCCCAATTCTTAACGGATTTTTCCCCTGAAAAGGTCACGTCTAGAATTTAATTCGGGAGCCTTTTTCTGCCTAAAATTTTCAAAAAGGTAAGTTTTGATCCCTATAATTTTCGGATCACTTTCAGCTAGGAGATCCGAGCAGATGAAAAATTTTTCGGAGATAAAAATATGCCTATATCTACCATTTAAATACTAAAATACGTTCAACAATGCTATTTTTAAGTGGTTTTGAACTATATTCTCCATGGGTGTCCCTGGTATACTAACATTAAAAGCAGAAGTCAACCTTAATATTTTAATTCAGGTCAACCAAATTAAAAAATGATGTGTTTATACCTTTGATTTAGCCTACGGAAAAGTATTAGCCAAACCTAAAACAGTTTAAAGAGAAATTGTTAAGTTACCAAATATAAACTTACTAATACAATAATATTTAATCACGCATTCCTTATTAATATAGCAGGCTATAGGCTCTGCAAAGCAGTCAAAGTTTTCATGAGCCAAACTTAATTTTAATTAAGACCAACAGTGTGTTTTTTGCCTGTGATTTAGATGCCAAACTTCATTATTAAAACAGTTTAAAGACGTAACAAAATTGCCATTAATATTAAGTTACATTTCTATAATTTCACATACAAATCATGAATCTGTCAGGGTTTATTAGGAAAGTCAGTTTTACAGCTTGCCATTTGGAGAAGCTGTACCTAGCATGTGCTAGCCCAATAGACACTTTAACCTGCCCAAAAAGAATTTTTGATTACAGTTAAGGAAAGGCAGTTTTGAGGGATGCTTGTCAACTGAGGAGAGCCCTCTCCCCTTATAATACACTGTATGTCATGTGATAGTTTTAAATCTGGATCATTTGCTTAGTGTCGTTAGGGTTAAAAAGAAAAGCCGGCTTTGCCTGAAAATCTGGAGAAAACCACTGCCCAGAAACTATCTATGCTTTATTTAGTGAAAATTGTTGGAATAAAATCTTAATTATCTTACTAATAGGATTGATTACCAGCCAATGTTTTTGGGAATGAGCCTGCAGGCCTATACCAAAAAGACGGCTGGTTGCATTGGTTATTTATATGGGTTATCACATTACTGCGTGCTTAAATCAAGTAGGGAGCATCATAAATTATTGTTCCTGGAGAAGATTTCAAAGGCGTTTTTTGATGTGGCATGCGATTGAGTTACAGCGTAGAGTATTTTAAGCTTAAAAGCCTGAAAGAGAGAAGGTGGTAAATGATGAGGATGTTTTTGTAAACCAACTGAATCTGGATTGTATTATTTTCCATTCTGCACAAACAAAAATATTATTATACCACCAATTGTTAAAGAAACAAAAGAATGTTACTGTACTTACAGTAAACACACACCCACTAATAAGAAATTGCGGTTTAAGAACCTGCTGGAGAAAATAAAGTCCTGAATACGGTTGGAGGCCTGTGAGATGACAAAAAAAACCTCGGTCAGTCCACCAAGCAACGTTCAGCTAGTCTCCTTGGCAAAGAAGTAAGAAAACCTTACTGCAGAGAGAGGCTGGGATGATTATCTTTTTTTTTTTTTTTACATGAATGCTTAAAATATTTTTTTGGCTGCCTAATCTAAAAAAATGATATTGTTAATTTGGGGGTCAAAGTGGCTCCTGTGTACCAAGTGATGAAAAAGCTAAACGTGGCTCATATGGGGCTCTAGACGCTACAATGACTTATCCCACTCTATGCCACAACGGCTACAGAATGTGATAAGAAAAAAAAGGGGACCTGCAGCTTACTGAACTTCTGAATACAATCGTGTACTTGATAGAGCAATAAACATTTTTTAGAAATTTCATGTAAAAATAAAGTTTTGATCAAAAGTTAATACTGAGCATGAAATTAGAGGACAAAAATTTTGGGACACCCTGTACATCTTCAAAGAAATTTAAAACCTAATTAAGAACCTACAGTTGTACTTAGCCTTCATTACTCTGTAACGTACCCTTTTTTGCCAGACCTCAAAAAAAATTAACTTAGGTTCTTATTAGCGAGTGTTTACTGTACATGTATCGCATTCATTTTATCTGTTTTGGTTTCTTTTTAAAGGTTAGAGCGATAACACAAGACTTACTACAAACATCAGTAAACGAGAGGGGTGAAGAGGGGGTGAAGTTTTTTTTACAGTGTATGTGGCTTAATCCAGTCATGTCCAGTGATTCCAATCAACTGCAGCATTAAATTTAAACATCTGCGTTGATGACATTTATTCATGAAAGTAAAATAAGAACTGTTGACTTGTGTCTTCGATTTTTTTAGTTTTAAACAACAATTACCTGTCCTATGTCAGTAGCCACAGCAATGTGACCCTCCACGGTCACTGTTATTCCACGTACAACATATACTTCTTCATCCAGCTGAATTCTGCGAACAAATTCACCATTAACAGTGTATATAGCCAGCGCCAGGCGGCGTGTCTTTCGTTCCTTACCAGCAAGGACAACATGGTCACTTGCCGGGTGACATGCTATGCGATAATAGTCATCTCTCACATGTTTGATATTAAATTTGTCAAGCTGGTGTCCCTCCACGTCAAATATGTACAAACTGTCATCGTATCGGTCCACTATCATGACGCGACCATCACAAGTAGCAGTGATATCTGTCGCCCACTTGAACACTCCTCCACCAAAGCTACAAACGAACTCGCCACTCGGCTCGTGAACATGACCAACTTGACCTGCCAACAGCAGAATTTTGCCACGTTGTTTGCCGCTGGTCACTGTTAGTCTGAAGCTCCAGCACTCTCTCCTCACGGGAAACTTGTGCTGTAGGTCAGCGGTCTTGTTATAAACCTGCACTTCCCTCTCCCATTCCTTAGCCCCAGGCTTCTTCAAACTGACCAGTAGATAAATCTTGTCGTCCTCGCCTGCAGTGGCGACATCCCAAATATCTAACTTTGTATCGGCGTCATCAGTTTGATGATTAAACCTAAAATCAAACTTTCCGTTGCTACCAAACACCTTCACGGTTTTATCCCCATTGCCTGCTATCAGGAATTGGCCTTTGGTGTTTTTAGCGATACCACACGGATCCTTCAGCTTGTGCTTCTCTTCACCCTCCTGACCAAATAACCATGGTTTAACACAACAGTGCTCCATGCCTTGTTTCTTTAATACTTCATCAACTTTTTGATTTCGGAGTGGATAGACTTGTTCTTCTCCAGTATCAACACTAGGCCAGTTTTCAGAAAGCTCATCCTTGCTACCAAACCGGGTCATTAGAGTGACATCGTAGACAACACGATTAAAGAAACATACCGTGGATATTATTTGTCTCCGTTCGTCTTTATCAAGGCGAGCCCAAAGACCTTTCTTAAGCTCTACTTTGAAGCATTCTTTAACACCCGACACATCGTGTAGGTCTTCAATACATACTTTACAAACCGGTAAAGAGTCCTTAGGATTGTCAACCGTCTCCAGTATTGTTGCCATCAGTCGATATTGCATAGCCAACAGGCGATCAGGCAACTCTAAAGCTTCATTATTAAAAGCTTTTGTTGCTTCTCGACGAGCCTCCTTAAATCTCCCTTTTGCTGCGCTAAGCAACCTTGTAGCCGTTTCATCCATGGAAGTGAGCTCCAATTTTATCATTTCTGTAGAGAGAGGAAAAGCTTCAACACTAGCGGCTTGTTCTGTTAAAATTTTATGCTCGCTACTGGGTCTGGCACTTTCAAACACTTCATATAACAACTCGATTCCTTCCTTAAAATGGCTGATACTTGTCTTCAAATCCTTTCTTGCTAAACCATTCAACTTCGACTTTACTTCATCGATTTCACGGACGATCAGGCCACGGAATTTCTGATCTGTAACATCACCCTCATTCAACTTTTCTGCTAGTTTATCTCTTCCTTTATTCACCAGCAGGCCGATAGTGGCTTTAAATACGGCAGTTATTAGTGAAGACATGTTGAATACTCCTATTGATGAAGTTGAACCGCTGACTGTAGATAAATAAATTCATGAGATGTTAAGTTGCCAGGATAAATTAAACAAGAAAAATCCCAAGAAAAATTCTAAGAACTTAGTAAAAAAGAGGAGAAAATGATTGTCTAATGCTTTAGAGAAGAAACTTAATAGAAGGTCTACCGCTCACGGGTTGTTTATGAACTGTGTTCTCTAACTACAGTTAAGTGTTCAAAAACCCAAAAAAATCAACGTAGTATGGTTTGCCGAAAAATTTCTCTTTGCTTAAACTGTTAGCTGTGAATTTCATCACCGTTTGTGCCCGTCCGGCAAACACATTAGAAAGACTTGAGGGCTATCTTCTTATTCTATCTTCTTAGCTGGCGGTATTGTGTGGGTGCGAGATTAAAGTTTTGGCGGCGGAGCCGTGTTCCAAAAAAAGGGGGTAGGGACGAGGCGGTTGGTTGGGTATTTCTCGCGGCTTCGCCGCTCGTGACGGCTCCGCCGTCAAATCTCACTCCGCTATATTACAACGGCTCCGACTCCAAATCTCACTCGACTACTACACAATACCGTCAGCAACGAAGGCTAATTTGTGATCTGATCGAGTCACCTTAATTCATGTTTGCAGCAATCTCATGTTGCCAATGATATCTCTGATGTACTACAGACTGAATAAATGGTTTTGGTATTCTGCCACTTCAATTGCGTTATACAGCAATTAAAATCATAATCCTGTACTGATCTTCTCCAGTCAATTTATTTATCGTCACTTTCAACACCACTCTCGGCTGTTTACCGTAATTCGAAATGCTTCCGAAAACCTGTTTGCTTCAACATTGACGTAACATTTTATGAGCTTGAAATAAGGGTGTCATGGATTAAAACACTAAGATCGGCTTCAGTATACCTTTACACGATACTTTTACATACATTTAATAGAATTTCAAATGAGGGGGAGCGTAAGGGGGTATGAACACCGCAAAACCACACAGAAATACCGGTATATAAACACCAAACACCGTACAGAATATAACATAACAAAACCGCACAGAAATACCAGTATATAAACACAGCACTGAATAAAACCGCAAAGCGCATTGAAATTACGCGCAATGTCTAAATACCGCAAGCCGCTAGGTTTTAACCGCATTACATCAACTTAAAAATAAAACTTACCGCAAAACCCCACCAAAAATCGAGCAACACCGCATCACCGCAAACCCTTACGCCCCCTCTAAAAATTAGTAAAACTTATCAACCAACCGTGGTCAAATAAGATCGATCCGCTCCTAAAACAAATCTATACTATTAACTAGTAATAGTTGACACTACAGCTGCCCCCGCTCTGTATTGTCGGTCAACAGTATTCTTGCTCGTTGCGTAGCTCTTTGAAATATGCCGATTCATAATGAAGACTTTCAAACATATTCCATTCAATAGGTGAGATAAATACACGAAACGCAGGGTTCCATGCACAGTTTTAGTTCGATTTACACAGCTTTGATCAAAACATTCTCACGCATTCTCAGTTTCTTGAATAGTTTATTCTAAACCATAAGAAAAGATTTAATTAGAATTTGAATTTTTCGCTATTTCTCTTTCACTTTTTACATTCAGTTCATTTATTTGCCGGAAAGTAAGACTTAGAAATTAAAAGAACGTTTCATCAATTCACGCTTGCGCATTCTAGTCTTATTTTAAACTTTATAGCGGAAGGACATCTGTGAGCAGGGAATAATTCAGCACAGAATTTGATTGTCGGCGAATTTCTGTAATCGTCCATTGTTCTGCTAGTGATAAGCTAGCCGTTGTTCACTCGTCTTGCTTGTTAGGGGCTGAGTCTTATTCCGGTCAAAGAGAGAGAAAAAGTGTCTGGCAAGGTTTCCAATTAAAGATTTGTGAACTCGTGTCTGGCAACCTCTCCAAATGTTTATATATACACAGTTATATGCACCTTATAACTTCATCTGCGCTTAACGAGGGTCTTTTGGTCCATAACGTTCAAAACAACTGCTCCACAGAATGTCACTGATAACACGTAATGCAAAGGAGTATCGAAGTATCCCTGCATCCCTTCGGGATTTTCTTACGTCATCTTAACCATTTCGTACTTGCGGGCGCAAACAATAGAAACGTCATCATCACCTACCGATTCCTCGCGGCCCTGTTCAAGCAAATCGAGATTTTTTCTGGCATATCGACTGTATATTTCAACTGTAAGTACTTTCCTTAATATACGCGCGAGTTTCTAGAGTGCCTCCTCGGGATTTCGCCTTCTGGGCAATTAGTTTTTAGCTGTACTTTTTCCTAGTGTTTCGGGTGAATTCGCTTCATTAGTAGTGTTAAAAATTAATGAAACTGTTAGGATTTTAGTTTTACCAGACAAAATGTCATGGAAAGGGAAGTGAGGTATCGTGAAAAGACGCTCAATTATTTAAGCCTCATCCTTCAAATATTAGACCAAACGTGGAAATCATAACAACACTTTCTTACTGAATTGAAACTTGAGTTGAAGCAAAATTTCAGCTTGTGCAGTACTTCCTTATTCTGCATTCAGATGTGCATAAGCAAAGCTACTGAAAAAAAGTTTCGTCCCACGTTCAGTTTCAGAAAGAGTCTATCGTGAGATCAATATATTGTAATTGAAAAAAAAGTACTGGCTCAGTCTACGACAATGAACGCTTCATACAGTGACTCCCGATAACTCGAACCCTCACTAATTCAAACCTCGCGCTAACTCGAACCAAAACTGATTTCCCCTGGATTTTCGTCGTACATTTACTGTAATTTTACCCTCGATAACTCGAACCTCCCGCTGACTCGAAGTAATTTTTGTTTCCCCTCAGATCATTTCTATATAATTTTACTCTCGATAACTCGAACGTTTTTTTTTGAAACCCTTAAATAGTCGGGGAAAAAAACAGTGTACTGGCGTCCGAAACATTGAATTTCGAATTTCCCATTGACGTGTTGTAGGCATAAAGTTCACTAATGGAGGCTGATGTTGTCACAAATCTAATGTGAAACAGCTTTACGTCTCGAAACAGTAAATTGCATGCTCTATTTAGGCAATGTTTTGTTACGTTACGTTCTGATTTATAATCAAGAAGTATATTTCAATTGTCACTTAACCTTTATACAATTAAATGTAATTAAAATCTTCACTGTGCAATAAAATCTGGTTTTTTCCTTACTTCCCGCTATTTTCTTCGAGCTCCCGAACACTTTTTTGAAGGTTCAAGTTATCGGGAGTCGACTGTACTTATATCTTGACTAATACTTCAGGGTTTGCTTGCTTATATGTTGTTTATTTCAGGACAATGTTAAAGAAAATTCAGAAAATTCACTGCTTGGAGTAAAAGAAGCCACAACAAAAGCCCGCTGACGGCCACCGAAAATATAACTGCCTTCATCGTTCGTAATTCCTGTGTATCCACAGCCGTAGCTTATGACTTCATACATGGCCCTATTTACTGTGTAACTGCTCCCCTCAAAAGGTATAAATTTTGGTTTGGCTTCAGTTCATAGCTTTGTGCTTCAGTAAAAGGAGGGTGGCTTGAAGAGCCAGCTTAAAGCCGGGTTAAATCAATGTTATCAGACTTCGGGCACATAAGAGAAGATTAATGGGGAAAAAAGAAACTTGTGGTTGCTAATAGTTATCGAGATAGTTTGATCATTTCATTTTATGTAACCCCTACGGCACTATCTCGTAACAATTAGTGCTCAATAGTTTACGACTAAACAAAAGAAAGTAATGAAATTAAAGTGTAATACTGTGAAGAAGTGTCTGCTATCTGTTTCACAAGTTAAGTGATATCATACTATTAATGATAAAGCTAACAGATACAACTTCCCCCAACATTATCCATTACTCAAGTTCGAAAGTAAACTTCAATCCAACAAGAATAAATTCAGTCAGTCAGTAACTCTTTAAAGTTTGCTAAGACTAGTCAGATCATAAACTACGAGATATACATGTTTATAAAAAAAAGACACGGTTATGACGACATCATAACAGGATTTTATTGCAAGGCATTTGATAATGGTTTGCAGGCCAAGGCGGCAGGTTCCAAGCCTATCATATTTCCAGCCAATCAGAACTTAGGGCGTTCCAGACTATATCGTTCTTAAGCGCGCTTTTCCATGCTCTCGCCCCTTTTCGATCGCTCACCATCACGTTGTTCACATCGCTGGTTTGAACCAATTTTCAGCATTTTTTAGGCAAGTACCCTCTTTTCCTTTTATCTTTCCTATTATTCAATGGCCGAGCCGCGTGTTTTAGCTCTGGGAGATTCTCTTATTTGCCGTTGGCGCCTTTTCCTGTCCCGTGATTCCTACCATTTTAGCTTTGATTTCAAGTTATCTCACTGTGCCTTTACAAAATGGCATGGAGTCGGTGGCCGTACGGTTTCCAAAACGCTACATCTTGACTTGAATGTTGTCGATTCCTTTCGACCGGAGATAGTTATAATGCAGTTGGGTTTCAATGATTTAACAGAGTCTGACCCTTTACATGTTGGCTCCGCTATTGAAGATTTTGTTAGGCTCTTGCATGACAAAGTCGTTTAGATAGAGTTCTCGTCCTTACGTGTTCTGTATCGAAGGATTTACCCGGCTGCCGGACTAATAGCGAATAGACTGCACGTTTTAATGGTGACGAAGAACTGATCTGAACTTCACTGACTGTTAGCTGTCCCGGCATTACATTTTCTTTTATGGAGTTTCCAGACAAAAATATTCTTGGAATTTTGTTTTTATTCCCCGTTGGCCATTGTGTTTTCGCCGACTCACTAATGACAAAGATGACATTTATTCAGAATGGAAGAAACAAACAATTAACTTAAGAGACTCTTCAAAGCCCACTGAATCGAAAAAAAGCGGAAGACATAACAGGCCCAGATCATCATATCCTTAATTTTCATTGTCCTTGATGGCTTCTTTGATATCTAGTGCCAGTTATATTAATGAATGTTGATTTTAATCTCCAAGTGAGATAGAAG